CCTCCTCCTCCTCTTCTTCTTCTTCTTCTTCTTCTTCTTCTACCAAGGAGAGTAGGAACGAGGAGGAGGAGACGCAGTTGGCCGAAGAAGAAGAAGTAAGACAAAGAAAAGGTGATGAAGGTGCTGCCGTTGCTGCTGCAGCTGCTGCTGCTGCTATTGATGGTGATGGTGGTGCTGGTGACGATGATGGGTATCACACGCCGACATCTCCGGGACACAGAATTCCAGAGACTCTCACATGTCCACCGGCGCCCAAGAAGCCGTCTCCTCCCCCGTACTTTAGGTGGAGGATGAGGAGAAGTGAAGCTCGAGGGCAAGGCGATGCAGAGCGCGAGCGTGGATTCGACGACTCCGGTGTGGAGATGGATGAATTTGCCCCCATGGCTAAGAAGCGTAGAGGAGAAGGTGGCGTCGGCAAGTGATACCTTGTTACGTCCCTGAGACAATATACACTACCAATCACTCTTAATCCTCACTGTATGCAACCATTTCCTCTACGACCTTCTCTTGTTCTTGGTTGAATAGATGTTATTTTCTCAAATCTATCTTCCCCATGACTAAGTGAAGATAGATAGATTCCCTTTTAATCAGCTTTACTCAATTTTTCAATCATTATACGCATATATATATATATATTTTTGATCGCATGCATACATAACTTTGGGAATTGCGTAAAGGCTTTGACGTGTTCCCAAGCTATCTCGTACAAGCACCAGATCATGGCAGAATCATACGATTCATTTCATTGCTAAGCGAGGTTTCATGTATTGATCCCACCAAACACAAATACCGAATTATTATTATTTTTATCATGTAAGCATCACATGCAATCGAGTTTGTTTGTACCATTCAAAATCACATAAGCCACACTTGTTGGACATCAACCTCTACGCAAATCTTAGCAAAGAGGATATCAAAGACTCCGATAAAAAAGATGGTGGATCAGATTAATTGCTTTCTGACGTCCGAAAATGTAAGCACAATAAGATCCTGACAAGCAGATGTTAAGTCACATACGTATCAGCAGAACATCCGAGAAGCCCTACTTAATTTCCGCAAATCTGAGCGAAAAGCAAACACAGACCACCACCAATCTATCAAGTCCACAGAAAGCAAGAAACTACTCCACAATGTTACACACACCTGTCTCGGAATTAATAATCATACCAACGTACCACCTCGTCCACTCAGGTGATCTTCTTAATGATATCCTCAACCACTGCATCCATGTCGAGCTTTTTCATCGGGGTGAATGGCCGTGGCATATTCTGCAAGGAAACAATGTGGATGAGCTATTTTTATTTTCATAGAAAAAGATTGATGTCTCCTAGGTGCTGCTGAGCCACCTTCATCTGACCTTTAGTTTTAGAGAGGTGAAACCACTCAACCAAACCAAGATATGATAGGTTTATTTTCATCTGCATTCATTCCGTAGAATACGAAAATACACCACAAAGCCTTTAATTTTGTAATGACCAGTAGCTCGTTGAATGAAATCGGGTGAGTGCATCCTAAACTTAATATATGAGAATGATAACATACTTCATGAAAAAATTTTCAGAACAAAAAAAAAACCATTAAGATAAGAATCTGAGGTTTACCAATAACGAAACAAAAACTTGACCATTTTCCTCACGTATCTCAAAGCATCCCCTTCGTGGCTGCAAATATCAAACCAACAATAAGTTTATGCAACAACAAAACCGTAAAGCCCCAGTTATGGGTAGCAAATAAACTTTTTGCATTTTGTTTAAAATTTTTAAACTAAATCAATAAACCCCTTGCAGATATTGCCCGATTATTCTTGTTTGGCACTTTTAGCACATTACAGCCGATTATCTTTTGCTTAAAGGACATTAACTAGGATGAGAATTTCAGAAATAATACAGACCATAATAGAATATTATCCTATATGACTCAGTGTTCAGAAAAGATCAATTTAGTTGACCATCTCATTAATGTTGCTGTTCAGATTATAGAAGCTGGAAGCAGAATACCCAAACGGCCGTGGGTTCATGAATTCGTTAGAGGCCATGCTACAAGTACATGTAGTTTAAATGATTCAAGAAAAAAATCAATAAAAGCATAATGCGAAACTAAAAGAACATGTCGATAGAAATTGGTAATAACTATAGAAAATCTTAAGACAATCTAAGACATGTTTACTCTGCAAGGCAAAATATACCTTCACAAAGTACTGAAAAATCAGAAATTTTACCATACAACAATGGTCCAGCTTAACAACTTTTTTAGAAACAAGCAGAATAAAGCGTTCAACATTTTTTAACCGATTAGTAATTACGAAATGCAACATCTGAAGATTTAAGCACCCCGTCGATTCTCAAAATAGAAATACAAGGGAAAAAAAGAGTCACTATCGCAGACCAAATTTGCTTGGGTGATTAATGGTGGGTTGCCTCGGGTAACAACTCACTGGATTGCAATTTGCATGTGTTCATGTCCAACTACCGGGCAGCAACCAGAAAATCACCAAGTCAGGATATAAAAGCTGCCAACTGCCATTAAAGACAGGGAAAAGAACAAAGAAAACAATTTTTTTCATCGGCCATTGTACTCGCAAATGTATATACGTCATATACCAAACTGACGATCTTAACTGCAATCCAAAGTCAGTGAAGTATATAATGCAGGACTATGCCAAAAGAACATACATACAAGTAACCATTTCATCTTCACCAACAAGCTCTGTGGCAGTGATGCATCGGTAAACCATGGTTTCCATGCCAACAGGCACAAATAAATGCCTTGACTACATGATAAAGCCACAAACACCCATTTCACTGCTTTGGCATGCAAAGGGAGGATATTTGACAAAGCCCAGGTCAATTTTTAAGAATATTATTATCTTTTCTTTGTGGGATGGTTCCACCATATAATGGCAAGTTCAAACAATCTTTTAAACATGTGTCCATTATTTATCCAGCAACTAGGATTCTTTTCAACCCAAGCTAGAATTGCTCTAGCCCATCAGGAGGGGTAAGATCACAGTCAGTCCATACAATGGCTTACAATCTAGAATCACCTCAACAGTCAAAATTAACAAATTTTGTGATAAAAATTTATTGATCATGTTTTTATAAAGCAGAATTGTTTAATGGTTTCAAGATGAAGTTTGAGCTCAACCCCAATATTGACAGCAGAACAATTCGCTGCTACACGAACATATCATTGTTGGACTGAAGTCATCTTATAAAAACACAAAAAATTTACTAATGATATTTACACATGCTATAAAGTAACTTCGTCAATTCACCGGTTTAACAGAGGGTATAAATTGGGTGAATTTCCTGGTCAAATAGAACAAGTAGGTAGATCATGACTATGCAGTTTATCTAGAATCTATTTGGTTGAACTAAGAATCGAATCACTCTAAGTTGAGATATCATGCAAAATGCTTGAAGCAAGATTTCACTGTAATCAGCTACCAATAAATTATCAGACAGCAACATACCCACACTAAGGAGTAAAACTGAAATAAGCTCAAAATTTACTCCTTTGTTCGAACATAATCGGCTTGGAAGGCCTAGAAGAGAAAATCCCGTAATACACTGGAATCAAATGCAGATGACAAGTGGATCGGCAAAGTTTCAAGCTGCCTTTTGTTATTATTATTTTTTACAAAAAAAAAACATTTTTGAAAAAGTTCTCACAACAAGGCACGAAAAGAACTTAAATAAATCCAAATATACCTCTCCCTGGCATAAGCCATCAAATATGAAATGTCTCAGTGCAATGACCAGAAGAAAGATACCTTATCAGGATTAACTGCTACAACAATTCCAGGGACAGCACTTTCCAGGCCTTCCTTAACCTTTACGGCCCTCGTCTTGAAAGAAGTACATTGCTTGCTGAAGTGTAATGAAGATGAATCAATGCAAGTAAATTAGCGGCAGCAGTTTGAAAATGGACATAAACAGACCCAATCACCAAAAAAGGCAAAAAGGAAAAAATAACAGTAGCCCAAGGACCCAAATTATCTCACTCATTCGAAGCTAAGAGCGTCGCCATCGCCACATGAAGTACAAAGATATATTCACTCAAGATGGGTGTCACGCAAACAAATTAGTGAACAATCAATGAGAAATACATAAACCTAGCCCTCAAATCACTGGGTTATTTATTTTACAAAGAATTAAGAAGCATAAAATTTGGGATCGAGACAGTACATGAAGTGAAGAAAAGACTTATGTTTAGGAAATAAATATAAAGCATCATGACTGAGGGTTTGCAGTTAATATATAAAAAAAATGATGATCTCAAACAGAAAGAAAAATTAAAATTCTATTGGAAGGAACTAATTATGCTATGCTTAGACTTCGTGAGTCAATACATGATATCAAGGACCAGAAGAAATGCCAGGGCTTGACGAGGTACACAAACTCGAACGGTTCGAGCAAAGGGGGGAGTGATCCGAATCCCTAATTTTAAATCGGAAAAGGGGGAAAAAAAAAGAAGAAGCATTTATCGGGTATTTGGTCGAACTGATGAAACGGTTGGAAAGCAGAAACACGCACCACGCCTCGATGATGATGGTCTTGGCGGCGCCGACGGAAGCGGCCACGGCATGCGGCGGAGCAGCGAGCGCTTCCGCGTCACTGGAAACATCGTCCTTCGCCTTTACCAAATCGGCCTTTTCCTTGGCGCCATCCGTCTCCTCCGCGTTTCCGGCCGTCGAAAGCTTGGCCTTCTTGGACGGCGCCCGCACCCTCGCCGGTGCCACCGCCGGAGTTTCAGCCCGCTTCACGGCAGTGGCGCTTCTGGTCTTCCTCGGTGAGATGGCTGGCAGCGGGGCCGAGATCTTCGCCTTCCTCTTCGGCGGCATCACCTTCGTCCACGCTCGCTCACTCGCTCTGTTTCTTCGTCGTCGACCAGTCTTTTGTGAAGCGTCTCGCGCAAGCCACGCGTCATGGATATTTTTCCCGCCATTGTTTGGTGACATCCGGTGAGAGTAAACCTAGTTCACCGGTACTCTCGAAGTGTAAAATTCAACCAAAGATGCGTAGGTCATCCCACCGGGTGTCCAAGTGGTGGGATGATGTGATTCGACTCATTTGATCAATTTGTCACTACGTGGTGTAAACCCATTCGTCGAATCCCAGAACGGGGTTTGGAGGTGTCGACAAACTGGGCCGATGGGAGAGTTACAACTGGGCTGCACCGGTTCCGGTCCAGCTTATACTATGGCCAGTTTATGCCAATTCCGTGGGGCCCAGTGTTATCTGAAGGACGGGGGGTTTTGAATTAAATCAAGTGAGAATGATTCTTTGTATCGATTTTGTTTTTGATGTAATAAAGAATTTAGTTTTTTCTATATTTTTTTCAAGTTTCAAACCACGTGGATTTTTTGGATATGTTTTTCTGATTATTATTATTATTATTATTATTATTATTATTATTATTATTATTATTATTGTTTTAGTTCGAGTTCTCTCTCCCCAACCAACACGGAGTGCATGCATTATGCCTCGTACGTAATCTATTAACGTCACAGCACCTCGTACATATTTCGGACGGTCATCACCGATTCGGGTGAGCATGTGGCAGTAATGGAGATCGTCTACCAATGTTGACTAGCGTCTCAAACTTGTTCATGATAATAAGTATCACCTTATACTATTAACCTACGTGCTCGCAGCATCTTGGAATCTGATACCATGGGGTGTCATAGAGTCGACACACGATTCTGGTCATGATTGAGTTCATGTGTCATGGCCAACGCCACTGCAGCTCTCAATTCGGAGGAAGGCCAACACTGCAGAGTGCAGAGGGCAGTCTTCGGAGACCCACCCCATGAACCAAAAGTTAAAGTTGCCTGCCAACTCTCTCTCTCTCTCTCTCTCTCTGCCCATCCAGGTTCAGCTTCCATTTCGTTCCTTCACCATGTTCGTCATCTGCTAGGGATGATGAAGCAAGGAGGGTCATCTGTATGATCTCTCAAACTTTTTTCAACACACTACATGACTTGGCTGGCTGCTTTATTCTCCCCGAGAGAGGCTGCTGCGTTGGAGTTGCTGAAAGCAGATGAGAACCCAGACAGATTCCCTGTGACGGGGATACGTAAACAAAGAGGAATTTGATCTGCGGATTTCGCCTTTTCCTTTCTTTTCCTCTCCCTCTGCTGCTGTGGTATTTTTATTTCTCGCCTTCATCTGCTCTCTTTCTCTTTTTCATTGTTTCAGTTCCATGTGCGTCCTTCCATGACTAGCATTGGTTTTAGCTTCTTCTCGCCATCTTTGGCCTTCGTCTTCTCTCTCTCTCTCTCTCTCCGGTCCTCAGGAAGGTGCATGGAAGTTACGTGAATGTGTGTGCACTAATAAAGTGCAAGTGCAAGCGGATGAGGGAAAGTACAATTATGGAGGTCGTTCTACTCGATGCATCCATCACCAATGGGACTGCTTGCCTTCGGACATGTTGGTGGTTACGTACGTCATATGCCATATACGAAAAGAAAACCTTAAATCCATGGATGAGGGTTCGAATTATCGATCAACATACCAGATGTTGATTATTCTCTGTCCGCATTCCCCCCTGGGAATAAAATAGACGGTGCGATGTTTGACGAGAAGTATTTAAAATGGAATCATCCGACATATAGATTACAAGGTCGAAAAAAATAATCGGGAGGGACAAAAGACCAAAAAATAAAGATGCTATAACAGTCATGGATAGGGTCCAAAGTTCTAGAAATCTAAAGGTAATGTTGAGATGCATGATGACCCAGTTCTTTGACTGCCACTTTCAAGATATTGAAACTCTTCGGTTTCCTACGTGGGTATGCTTCTCAGCCTTCGATTCAGGAACATCGTGTGGATGAAAGATCAAGAAGGAACTTAAGCACCGAGGAGGAAAAGGAAAGAATTGCGCTGCTTTGGTAGGTGATCTTTCTCATAAGACAGACAACTTACCATCTGTTGTAGGGTTCAGGCATATAAAAAGGTGCTTATGTACTCACAATGCTAACAAGTTGCAGCTGGTTAATTCCTATATACATGCCTGTGCTCAAGATTTGTTTGCATCAGAGAGAGAGAGAGAGAGAGAGAGAGAGAG